CACACGCGAGATCGTAATTACCGTCCTATAGATCGTCGACCGAGAGACGACCGAGAATAGCGGTGCATAATCTCGGACGTGGTCCCGTCTAGCACATGGGCATAAAGGATCTCGGCGAAGTATCGTACCACGTCACCGCCTGGTACTACCCCCCCCCCCCAGGAATCTCGTGCCGACTATAGTCCGGCACCGAGGGTTACCTTCCTTCGTGGTCACGCAAAATGAAAAGCCGCGGCGGTCTAGCCTTATTCAAGGGAATATCGATTGGCGGAACAAGAAACATTGCATGCGCGTCCTTGACTCCGAAAACCTTTCCATTTTAGGGGCCAGGGTCGGCAGATGGGAGATTAATCGTCCAGGAAACCTTTCGCGCGCGCGGCCGTAAGGACGGGACCTTCGCTGTTCCTCGCGAGAGGACAACCCGTCCGATTGTCAGATAAGTCACGGCGGGTTGCCGAACAGTGCTATTTTCTCCATCGGGAGAGTCATTAGTGCGCTCAATGATGACGCGGGGGAATTTGTAAGCGGGAGAATCCGTTCGAACTGAAGGGGAGCATCGAATCTTCTCAACGGTAATAGAATGAAACGCGAATGGGATCCATTATACTTTCATATTCCATTTGTTCGATTGTTACGATTATTCGCGTTTATTCATGCATCATTTTTAAAAGCACCTGTAGGCTGTAGGATAATAATAAACATTTGTACTGGATCAAGGGTTCGCCATTTCTTTATCAAATAAAATCAGAAACTCAAAGTACGTAATTCTTTAAAAAATTAGTTCTACTAGTAAAATTAGTTGAAAAATAATTCTTTAAAAAGAGCACTGAAAAATTTTTCCTTAAATTAAACAGAAAGGATGGACCGACTTCCACAATGGAAATTTTTCCCTTTGACCTTATTGCAATTTTGTTTTAAACTTTGACTTAAGTCTTTCGCGTCAATCTAATATTACCCTTATAATTACTTATTTCGGCGAAACAGTTTCCGCTCTGATTCTCCATCTCGCAAAGGAGAACGACGTTCACCCATTGGTAGCGTTTTCACCCCCGTCGAGACGGCACGGACGATTTCGTCCTATGCGATGAATTCGAGAATGGCGTTGCGCACAAAAGGCAATAACGAGCTTTCGAGAGGCCGCGCTCGAGAGGCGGAAATTCGTCTCGCGGGCCCGATCGAAATCGATGCAGCTTCGATCTGCGGTAAATTCGCGGCAGATCCGGAACGGATGCGCGGCGGAACGTAGCATCGCGGCGGGCGGACTTTCCCCCGGTGACATTTCGCGCGAAGGCCGCAGGTCGATTACGCGACGATCGACGCGGTGGGAATTTCAGCGTAACGAAATTCGTGTTTCGTTCGCGACGAGGCTGCGACGAAAATGCGATGTGAATACGTTAACTCATCGTGCAAGCCGTCGTGCGATCCGTTTTTTCCGTATATACGAGAAAATGCAATTTAGATAATTAGCACCCCCGATGAAGTTGAACTAACAATTTATCACGTGAACTACCAAACGCGAACTCTTAGTGGCGAGATTTCCTCTCTCAGCGGGAGGGAGAGCACCTGATGACATATGCATTTACAAATGACTCTTGTCGGAACGGCCGTGTTTTCGTTAAACGAAAAACAATAGGCGAATCGCGCAACCGCGTCATCGCGTGTTCCGAACGGCTTTGACACTTCCGCTTTATACAATTGATTTTTTTTTTTCGCAAAAGCCATCGGCGCGCGTTGTAGATGTAGGTAGAAATGGAGTTTCCTCCTCTCCTTCTCTCTCTTTCTCTCTCTTTCTCTCTCTCTCTCCGTTCCGCTGGTCACACCCACGGTGACGTTATTCGAAAGCGCGCTAACGCAACGCTTTCGGTAACAGGATTCTTCAATAGCAGGATGAACGTGCCATAGACATCCGATCGCCTATCACTCGAATCTGCCACGGTTCTTCACTTTCTATGGGTCCTATTCGGACGATGGAATCCGGGATCCCGTTCACGATTCCGGGAATTGTCAATGCGAAGTAGATTCGCTTAACTCACGGGGGTAGTAACAGAAAATCGATTAACAGCAGTACGCGCGTTCGGCTTCATTTGGGAATTAATTCTTGAATGCAATCTCTTCGAGCTTTCGCCAGTATTTGTCTTCTTCATGATACTTCCATTATCTTCGATCAAACTTTACTGTTGATAATTTCGAGAAAAATCTTGGGGGGGGGGGGGGGGGCTCTGTGATTCTTATCATTGTTAACTGTCGCTGTCGAGAACCCTCGTGAAACATCAAATAACAAAAAGGGAGCTTCGCTGTTATTAAATAAAGTGAAATGAAATTATCTGAGAGGGGTATCAAATTAGAGCGTCACTTCGTTCTGGCCGCCCACCCGACCCACTTGTCCGTCCGCGCGTTTCCTTCGGAAACTTTCTAGTCAGCGGAAAAGGGTTGCGTCTCGTCGGTCGGACTCGCGCGTACCATTCGTTCCCGCGGTCGGAGATCGCTATCCACCGATAGCATTTATACGGGGGGGATGAAAAGCGGACGATGACAGCGGCTCGATGACGACGCGTGCGGCATTGTTTTCGCTCCGGCGAGAACTTGCGCGACCGACAATGGCCAGCGCGCTTTAATGTCTCCTCTTCCCCTCCCCCCCCTCCTTCCCCATCCCCCGATCCCCTGTCGCAGATTCTGCCGCAGTCCGGGAAATAGGCTGCCTGCCTTTTGTTTAGAAAAGGAACTCGCCGAGTAGTCGCGAGCCGCGCGTAGTTTCCTCTTCCTTCTTCGGACTCGCCGCAATTCAATCTTAAAGGCGGCCCTTCTCCGCCGCGAATCGATTTTCCTGACAATTTCTGCGGTCTGTAGATTCGCGTCTGTCTTTCATCCCCCTCGTCTCTCGTCGCATTCGACTTATTTCGCATATCTTCCAGCTAAACTTTCCGCGACTGCCGCTTGCATTTTCTTGACTATACTCTTGTTAACTGTACACGAGGAATAAATCGAGCGTCGTAACCTAAAATATTATTAATTAATTAATTAATTGAGATTGTGGTGCTGTATCTGAGGGGTGGGGGAGGTTAGAGGGTTCAAACTCCCCTAGAAAAAAATTAAAATTAAAATTATGATTTTACAAAACTTTTTTTCTTAAAAATTCTATCGTTTTCAATCGCGAATCTAAAACCAGCTGTCCAAACGGCCGCCATATTGAAAAAGAATAATTCCAAGGTACGTCTAGATCAATCTGACTGCCTGCCATATCGTGAGCTCGCGTGTTAAGACAACCTTCGCGCCTTAACTGTTCTTCAGCTATTAAAGCGCTCAAGCCGTCAGCGTGTGTGAGGGGAGGCCTCACTCCAATTCTCATCCAGGTGGATATTCAACGTCATTAATCGTTAATATTATTTCCTTGCAATCTCGGCGATCCGACTTGACGCGAACGTATGGGAGAATGGAAATATCGATCCCAGCTGCTACTAACGCTATTACGTGAGCGGGGCGCGCCGCATCCGTATTATACCGCGTGCGAACAATTAACAAGAGTGTTGTATCCAATTTTATTATTCATATTCTGTTAATAATGAATACATCCGCGATACTTAATAATACGATATAATTGCACAGACTCGCTCTCGGAAAAAATGTTTTTCGCGGAAAGTGTTTCAATAGATACGGAGGATTTGGACAATATCGAAAATAACAATTTAAAATCGAATATCCGAGGGCCCCCTTGATCTCCGCTGATCGAAAAGAGTCATGAAACTCGGAGTAGAAACTCGCCCCGATGTTTGAGCAAACATTTTTCTCCTCGACTGTCGAAGATTCCAGGTCAGCGAGTCAACTTGCCTCGAAATTTCGCCCATACATTCCTCGACATACAAGAAAGACTCGCGGACACGATGGATAGAATGATTAAATTTTCCCAAAAGTCGCTTTGCTCGGACTGACTGATCGAGTTGGACAGGTAAAACGACATGATGGGATAAAATTATAATCATCAACGCTTGAACGCCCAAGAACGATGTATGTATTATATATGTTTATTAATTTATTTTCTACACAAGAGGAAAACAACACGAAACTTATTTCGTCCTGATCGGAAATATGAAAATCTAGGTCACTGAGCAGAGGGATAAATTTTGAGGATGCGTTGCTATGAATAACAACATAGTCGCAATTTTCTTCATTTTTAGAATTGATATCGAAATCTAGTTTACGAATAAAATTTTTCGATTATCACAAATTTTCTTAATATTTATATTGTCAAAATTAGTTCAATTTGAAGAGTGTGCAATTATTATACTATAACGAAACAATTATAATTATTGTATAGGAAATATTTAAGTTGTGATATATTAACTTGGCAAAACGGAAATTTTTTTTTGATAGATACAATTTATTGTGATCTGTCTGTTTCTGTGGAGACAGACAAAAAGGCACATTTTGTAACATGTCGTGATATTGAAATCCTAGATAGAAGTTTTATATTACATGTACATTCCGTCTATTTTTATAAATTTTGATATATTCACACATTAATGAATATAATATTTCCTCGAAAATATGGCACAAACAAAGCTTCCTTCGCTTGATAGACGAATCAAAAATTGTTAACTTAATTGCAATTCATGTTTGGCACTAAATGATAACAGGAACTTTTGTATATTATTGGTAAAAAATTTCTTTGGTAGAGATTTACCATCGAGATCAACAAAACACGCAAGATAAATTTAACAACATATATACATGTTATATAAATATATAAAGATACCTCCGTTATAAATGTTCTATATACGATCAAATTTAATCCATTTAAACATATCGATGGTGTCAATAAAAAATATTATATAATTGCAAAACCGTAATTTTTTAGCAGATTTTTATTTGTATAATAACAATAATAATAGATAAAAATTTTTGTAAAAATTATAAAAATTTTGAAGTATACTCTAATTTATCTATTTTATCGACATGGAATTTTTTATATATACTTTTATATCTTTTTTATTTTATAATTTTTATTTTATGCGTGTGATTTCGTTAATAAAAAGATTATTATGAAATGTTTACTTATTGCCACCATCGATATCTTTAGATTTAATTTTAAGGCAAACTACTTCAAAATAGCTGCCCTTAATTTTAACGATAAGCTCTTTGACGATATTAACAATAGCAAATACACGTAGGGTAATTTTTCCATGTCAACGATCTGAATAAAATCACACGTTTCTTTTCGATAATCATCCTCGATTCCTCGGCCATGTGCGTTTCTCGCGTCGTAAAGATCTGGCGCTCAGCGAAGACGACGAATTTGTCGCTGCGAAGACGACGTTCTCTCGTCCGGCGACGCCTAGAACGGGCCCCTAGATCAGCGAGCACGACCCCAGCCGAAGCACTCGCCCCAAAATTTGTCCATTGTATGATAGAGGTGAGGGGATACGTGTTCGAGAGAGTGCGCCTCGTCCGTGTACGTGACTTGCTCGAACAGGATGTCATTATATTCCAGCGACTTGGCGAGCGCCAGCGCCTGCTGGTAGTGCACGTTGTCGTCCGCGGTGCCGTGTATCAACATGTACTTTTTGCCGCGTATTCCCCCCACCAGTCGCGAGATATCTGTGCGATTGTAACCGCCGAGGTTGTCCTCTATCAATCCCATGAATCGTTCCGTATAGATGGAATCTGCAACGAGTCAACGGGTCGAGATGACAATTCCGAGGGGAACCTCTCGTTGAGGCTCGAATTAGAGATACATCATTGATGGAAGTACCATTCATTAAGGTTACTTTTTGAAAAATAACAATTGGTAGGCAAGTACCATTCGTTCCGACATTAGGGTTATTATTGAAAAGTGAGAAAGAGCGGGTTTTGCCGAAATTGTAAAGTTTCTAAAAATTTAGCCGGAAACACAACCGGATTATCGGAAATAATATAGTTAGTAAGGCTGTTCTTTCCGCGTGGAGAAAATAATCTCATTTTTCTACGCCTCTGTAGACGATAGCTGTTATTTCCGCTATTAATTACCGTAATAGATCCACGAAGTCACAGGCGCGACGGATATACCGCACTTGAAGACGGAGGCGGTATCCGTCGCCATTACCATGCCGGTGGTGAAGCCGCCGTAGCTCCAGCCCCATATACCAGTTCTGTTCGCGTCGATCCATTTATATTGTTTCTGCAGAATTCTACGACAAGGAAAAACACATTTTTTTTTTTATGTTCGAAGTGACGTGGCGCGGCCGCTAAGTAAAAGCCACGCTGCTTTCGATCACTTTCGCATTACTCACGCGGTGACAGCGATCGTATCGGCGACTTCGACGGTGCCCATATTGCGGTATATCTCGAAAAGCATTTTGCTACCCTTGAAAGCTGATCCTCGTCCATCGATCCATGCGTAAATCGCACGTCGGTTGGTCGTAATGTAATGGTCGTACTCGAATTTGCCTTCGTCGACGATCCTGACCGTGTTCGGGCCGGCGTAGCTGCGGATTTCAAACGTCTTACGTAATATCTTAATCGGAATGAAAAGTCGAAACGAAGAGAATAATGGCTTTCGCGGAACGGTTTATCATGTCCCACGTCACTACGCGCCGGTCGATTTTAGAGCTACAAATGGATAGCATGAATTTCTAAGTAGGTGAAGCGCTCGATACGTCGCAAATGCTTCTTAAAAGAGAAGAGAAATGTGCGCGAGGATCATTTAAAGGTAATCGATCGTTCCGAGAGCTCCAGCATGAATCGACCGAGTAAACAATTCTAAATGGAAATTGCATATCCTTTTGCGTATCGATCAATCATGGCGTACGCTGATTAAAGTCAGTAATTGCATCGTGGTTAACTGTTAATTGCAATCGCTATTAACAATATATATATATATATATATACGGCACACTGGATGGAAACATTAACGTTTGACGTTATCCAATTTTTTGAAAATATTCATAAGATAATAAAAATGGAATATTAATTAATCTCTCTTGAAAAAATGCGTGGTTAGACTTGCAATTTATAAATTTAGGCAACTGTAGCTTTAATTGAAAATTATGTGCTCTGCAAAATGAAAATGTTCCGCTAAGAAATTTGTTGCTTCTAAGTTATTTTATTTAACATTTTCTGAAATCTGCGTGTAGTAACGTCATAAAAATATTCTTACATATTGGTATACGAGTCAAACGTGACATGATATATATGACAATACGGAAATATATAGTATATATATATATATATATGTATAAATATATATATCTGACAATAAAATTGATTTTATTGTCTAACATATACGACGCTGGATTTTATTCACCATACATTCCGTTCTATATTCTTATTTTATAATTAAAAAAAAAAAATTCTTATCGCTAGACGCAAAAAGAAAATCAAATAAATATTCCCTGAAGTACCACGCGGAGAAATATTTGCCGATATTTTTACGCCGTCCGTAGCGAATTTCGCGTTACTCATATCAGAGAGAACTTGAATACTTACACAAATACCAATAAGGGATACGTTTCGTTTTCGTCGAAATCTGGCGGCAGGAGTAACCTGACCCTGGCGTCGTAGCCATTCACGGTAACGTTGAAATCTTTTCGTTGCGGTATCAATCGTCGCGACAAGAGAGTCCTCACCATCTCGTTGAGCTTCCAAGTCAAGACTGGCTGATGATTCGCGTCGTTGATCGTCACCGTGGCCGGGTCGGGCCCGGAACAGATGAGGCTGTAATAGGATCTGAGAAGTGAAAAGGACGCGGTCGCGTAGGTGCATCTGTTTCCTGCAACATTCAAATAGGACGAGATCGATCCGTGGCTGCGGAATATCTTCGTTTCCCTCCACCCCCCCCATTTCTATAAGCCACTTAAACCCTTTCCAATTTCGAGCACGTTGCTCGTGCTTATTCTCGTGTTTTTTACTTTCGGATATATACATATACCACGTACGTAATATCAAGACTTGCATGAAAATTCTGGCCACCGATTCTCGGCGCACGTTGGTTGGCCTCCAGCCTCGAAGGAAACGGGAGGCGTAAATTTCGGCACTTTCACCGGCCGAAATAAATTCCGGCAAACATCATATTTTAACGGATACAGGATCTGTACCTCGGCATCGGCCGAAGGTACGGACCCTTCACGGACGATTGATTTTTTTTCTCGCGGGGATGCAAATAGTTTGGCGAATTAATCTTCTTTACGCGATAGCGCTCCGTCTGGTGAGCGCAGCTGCCGCCGATAGCCGGAAAAACTTGCGCGAAAAGTAATATTTCAGTCCTGCCTTTTCACTTGTCGCGACTTGTCCCGCCTACGAATTAAGAGTCGAATCTTTCGTAATCTTATCGCGTAGGCGATAGAGGGTGGCGATAGGAGGTGGTGAATTCGCACGGAGATAAGTTCGTGCCAGGGGGTTCATGCCAGGGAAAATTCGGAAATTCCTATTTGAATTCGCGCAACTTTTGGCGCGCCTTGAAAATATTTGAGGAAAAATTGCGAGGATCTTCCACGGGAGCAAAGTTCCCGTAGATTCCACGTCATATCGCCTTCCGTAGCCTCGCGTAGATCTCTCTCGCGAGTCTACCAACTCCTCGTTACACATATATACGCGCGCGCGCGCGCGCGCGCGCTAAATATTCATGAACGCGACTTGCGGCTTTCGTCAGATGAGATTATTCCCGATGGATTTTCCGTTTAATTGGATCATGTACCTATCGCCTGAACAAGTTACAAATGCTGTTGACGATGAGTCGTCCCGAAATTTCTCCGCTACTTACGGAATCCTACTTAAGCATCCTCCGAGTCCGCGGCCACGGTTCGAGGCCACTGGACGCGAATCTAAGTAGAACAAACGATCGGACATTAAGGGCTATGAAGTTTTCATGCCCCTCGCGTAAAATATATACCTCCCGCGAGAGACGCCGTAGTTTAAATAGAATATTCCGACGACGCTGAACGCTCTCACGAGATCACGTTTGCCCGCGACGTAAGATCGTCATATTAAATTGATGAAAAATACCAGACGTCATTCCCCCCTCCTTTCTTCCTCTATCTCTCTCGTCCTCTCTCGCTCGCTCTCTTTTCCCTCATATTCGCGATTTCGAGGACTCACCTTCCGGCGTGAGCACCTCGCAGGATATGCAAGTCGGTTTCTGGCTTGCGTCCAGAGGCACCGAATACAAATTCCTCTGGGACGGTTCACCCGGCGCCGTGGCGAGATAGTAAACCCTGCCTCTGACCGAATCGACGGCCAGGATCGTGTGAACCTCGGAGGGACCGGGCGTTAAATCCACCGGCGACGTGAACTGGCCACCCTCGTACTTGTACCTGATAATATGACGTGAATGAAATTACAAAAAGATGGCGAACTTGAAAGATTTCTGACATTTTATCGATCATCGACGTCAAACTTCTGGACTGAATTATGAGAAAGCTATGAAGAGCGTAATTTTATGATTCATTCAGAATTGGAAAGTGAAAAAATCTCGGAATGTTCTGAGAGAATTGCGATTCTTTTTGTAAACTTATTCACGAGGGACGTATTTCCCTCATGAATTATATCGACACCATTTACCTGTTTATATGACGAAATCTGCCGGCACTGGTGCCGGAATCCTCCCGTCGTAAGAGCAACGCGTAAGTACCGCTTTTTATGGGGCGATTCGGCTGGAGCCAGCCCTCAGTCTCCTCGTCGTACAAAATCGGATTACCAGAACCCTGCGTGTCGTACATAACCAGTTGAGATTGGTTTTGCACGCGATTCGTCCATGTCGCGATCACGTGTGTCTCGTCCCACCAGCTCACGGTGAAGAGAACGTGGTCACTGCAAATACGAGCATCAAATAGTAATATTAACATTAACGGCACGATGATCCGAAAATAATTATGGCGATTGTTATTGTTAATAGCAAGAATTTGTAAACTTACCTGCCAACTACATCAACAGGCGCTTCCAATGTGACTGCTTTTGACGACGGATCGCTTAAATCGATTACTGATAAAGATACTATCGGGTTCGGTGTACCTGTCTAAAAATATGTATAAAAAATGATATTTATTCATCAATTTTGCTGAAGTATCTAAAAATTTGATCAAATACAAATCTAAAAATAATTTTCTCGACTCATTAAAAAATTCTAAATCATTCAAATTGATCACTGAAATGTAACAAATTTTTGCAATACTGTCCTCATTCTTAAGCGTCCTACATAATTATTTTGATGATCCAACAAAATTATTTTCAAATCTGTAAAAACCAAATTAGTTAAATTTTTATGAAGAAATAAATTAAGAATAATTTTTCTAAAATGTTTCGTCTCTGTAAGAAAATCTGTTTTTAATTGAATAGTTAAAATGTTATTATTTTATTATTTTTTTATAATGTTTACTTTACTTATCTCAATTTTATCATATAAAATATATTTTCACTTACATCAATATTAATTACTGTAGTTCGCGATAAAAAAAACCTAGTTAACATAGCATAGTTTTTAAAATTTTAGAGAGATAGCTTTAAGCTTTCAAAGGCTTCCAAGTGAAATAGAAAAAGAATTTTTCAAATCCGTACATGATCTCAGAAGTAATGCTTTTTTTGTCAATTTTTCACGGTCGACTTTCACGTTTTCGTACCACATGGTGCAGAAGCATCACCGAGGAAAAAGCTCGAAGAGATTCGAAAGCTCAGATTTCGGATTTTAAAATATTTCTTTGAACATCGCCCTCTTTACAAACATTTTTCGCATAAATATATATTCGTATTTATGGATTTTATATTTCTCATTTTTGATATCAATTTAAAACGGAATGTAGATGAATAATTAATGTATATCCGATATCAATTAAGCGATATTTTTAATAATTTTACTTAAATAATTTTACTTAATTTAAGAGATCAACTGCTAAATCTATGGCTAATAAAGAGAGACTGTGCTTGTCATTTTTCAAGAAACGTAGAAAATTTAACGAAGAACGAGAAAGATTTCGCGCTTTTTTCACAGAAGAATGCCCTTCTGTCGGCGTACTTCGACAATTGGATTATCCGCACGTGCCGACACATGCACGCGGAAGATGAAATCCATGGTAGAGTAAGCTCGAGTTAAACGGAAGAACGGCAGTCCTTTCAACTCGTTACGGCAATAGCCGATTTTGCCGAGTGGAGATGATTAGCCGAGTCCTCAGTGGTGGACTTATCAATATTATTCATGTGGGAACAATAATGATTTTAATATTAATATCGCTGTATTATTGATAATTATTAATAATTTGTAATATATAATTAAAGCTAAGCAAAAAAAAATAATGGTTAAGAAAAGGAAAAAAGATTAAGATGAGAAGAAGAGACTGATGACGTGATTTTACAAATATCTTAAAGATATTTACTTGAATACTTGGATTACGAAATAAATATCTTTGTTCCTCATTTGGTATTTTTTAAATTTTCATATTGAATATGTAAATGTAGAGGCTATTATTTTTTAAGTAGAGTCTTACCTTAGGATACTTTATCTTCACTTCCGTGGGATATTGGTCCTCAAGAGAGCCTGGGGCGCCATAATGAAAATATGCCATGTCCTTTACTACAGTATCATTGAAGGTTGCAAAGGCCAGATGCTTTCCATTCGGTGAATACCACATCGCGGTCGGGTTTGCGAATACTTCCTCTGTAATTAACATTTGCGATTGCGTTTGTCATTTGTAATTATCCGACACAGATAGGTATTCTTCGCGATGTATATAATTCTCTTTCTGATATTTGCTTTTGTATTACACATAAATCTTTTAATATAATATAAAATATTTTATATTTATAAAAAAGTATATATATGTATATTATATAAAATATTTTCAATACATTTGTTAAAAGGTATTTTATATAATATAAAGTAGCTTATCTATACATTTATTTAAATTACGAGAAAACAAGTTTACCTTCGTATACCCAATCTGGAATTCCATTGTAAAAGATTCCGGATTCGCCGTCCGTCGTCAATCTTCGTACTACATTCTCACTGCCATTGAAAGTCATATGATAAATATCATTATCGAGAACGTAAATCAAATCACTGCCGATCGGTGACCACAATGCCAGCGAGATAAAGGCTTCATTCGCTATTTCTTGAAATGTACTATGAATGTATAAAGAAATTTTAGTTAGAATATTAGGGAATATTTTAGTTAAAATTTATTCTTATTACGAGAAAGAAGATACTTTAAAAACATAATGTAAATGCAAGATTTTCTTATCAGTTACGAGTGAGGTAACAATTGAGATGGAAATAACGACAATTGCGATAATGAAAAAAAAAAAAGTCACTCCGAATTCAAATTAAAGAAGAGATTGAAGAAGGAAATACTTGTACTCTGAACCGTTCGGTATGCGGCAGAGAGATGTTAAAATAGTGAACAAACAATTTTTTAAAGCGGCCTCAGGCGGAAACTCACGTTTGAATGACGTTAATTAGTAAAACAGATGTGATTAAACAACTTTGTTTATATGGCCACTTAAAAACCTGTTTATGTTGCATGAAAAAAAAAACTGATGTTAAATTAACAGTATCAAATATAATCGATAATAATTTTGTTTTACTTCAGTATTAATGAAAAAAATGCATACATATTACTTCTATTAATAGCCGTTGAATCAATAAGATTATTTCCAATTACGTTTGATGCTGTTTTGACTCGACGAGAGATTTTTTTCCACGCACAAAGGCCGGTTGTCTAATCGCATTAATGTTTGTTGCTTCATTTCAAAAAGAAACTGCCATGGAAAGCATGGCATTTTACAATCGAGCTTATCGGTGAATAGTTAATATTATCAGCGGAGATATGACCGACAATAAGTATCGTATGCCATAAAAATATAAACGAATCAAAAACTTACCCGTTCTTCATGTCGTACACCACGTAGTTTCTAACGGTCGAGTATCTGAACACCTGTGCAAGCCATTTATTTCAGACTCACTTTATTATATTATTTCAACGAGTGTAAAGATATTAAACAATTAATCTACTCACTTGTCTAATATTATAACCAAAGAGAATGTACTGTCTGTCGGCCGAAATAGTTGCCATGCTAATTTTGTATGACAGCTGAAACAAATCCAAACATCGAACTTTAACATGAAAACATTATTTAACCTCTCGGCGCGTAGGAATGTCTATCCATTTTGCGGGAGAGACACCAAAGTAAATAATCATCTTAGAACAGATTGCTCGGAACAACAAGCTCGTTTCAAGTATTGGGAAATATATTCCCTCGCAGACGACACCGGACAAAAACTCGTAAAGAGTACTTCATTTAATTTCTGACCGCAAACGTCACGAGGCCATAACTGAGGCATAAACTCGTAATATCTTTCTCTGATGACGAAATCAGTCAATCGCAAATTTCAAAGTTTAAATCGCAGGTAGCAAAGTGTACTCCTTACTGGTAAATCTGTTCCGTTGAAAAACTCTTTCGTCTCCGCTGTTTTTACGTTGGTAAGAGTAATGTCGCCCGTGAGCATGTTTCCAACGATAAATTCGTCATCGGAGATCCAGCTGCCGTTGAAGCCGAACGAGTGAAAGAGACGGAGGTACGCCTCCTCCAAGGAGAACGGTTTCCTGACGATCTCCTCGGTGTCGGTGTCATTGGCGCTAACGTCGTCAACGTGTGGAACTATGTAAATTAAAACCGTTTAAAAGCAACGTTTATAATAATGAGATTTATTCAATTCCATATTTCCAAAAGTAACGATCAAAGTTGTACGCGTTGAATATTAATTTGCTGATAATTATACGAGATGTTAAATCAATCCACCTACTTGTCCGTGATTGGCCGATGATGAACGCAAAGGCGCACAGTATCAGAAGTTGGAAAGTCTGAAAGAATTTCGGTTTATCAAAAAAAAAAAAATATCACGGAAATTCGTCCTTCGTTCTATTACGATTATTACGCGCATATAAATTCAACGAACGGGCGGCAAAATGTATTGCGCAAAAAAATTTTAGAAAACAAAGTTACTATTATCGCACGAACTTCCAACATGCTGCGCTCGTATCTTCGCGAATTCTCGACTACTATTCAGTAACCGCGAACAGTTTTGCTCCATTTTACGGATCATTAGCATTCTTTCAGCCAATTTACCTGCCTGCTGCTCCCGGCACCGGGAGAGGGAGGAAAGAAGCGAGAAAAAGAAAGATCGCACGACGAGAAAGAAGCATCTGTTCTTGGGTTTCTTTGGCTAAAAGGCCCCGTGGGAGTGGTACACGGGAAAAAAAAAACAAGGAGGACGCGTCGGAGGGAGAGGGACAGTCGAGAAGCCTGCTGCTTCTTCTTAAAACGAGACGCTCCTTGGTCAAAGAAAAAAGAGGGAAATAGCGGGAGGAGGGGGGTGATGAGACATCGGGTATGAAAAGCTTTTCCTGATACGCAGCTGCCGCTCTCCAAGTTCCAATTGGAAATTAATTGGTCTTTCGAATAGGAACTATTGAATGCGATCGTGTAAGGCTCTCTCTTTCTCTCTTCTCGAAAGTAAAGAGGATAATAAATCGCACCTTTTGTGCGTATCGTCAGTTCGTTCGATTCCACGCGTCCTGTAATTGGCGATGT